GAGAAAACGTAGTCAGAAACAAAGCCAAGGTCAATACGGAGAAACACAACTGAACACAACAAGCGCTAAAGGGAAGTGATACAGAAACCACGATAGGGCAAGGAACAAAGGAAAGAAGGTGAGTATAAATACCTAAACATCTAATTTGATTGGTCCCTGTCACATCCACGCCCCCAAAAGGTAAGTGTATGGGGAGTGTGGCATGACAGGGACCAATGGGATGCCTTTTCCAATTTAGGCACCCACTGTCCCTTTAAGAGCGCGCCCGATACCCGCGGCGCGCTCTTAGAGTAGGTGGAACACGTGACCGCTAGTAGTCACAGCGGTCGGCTGAGCCGCGCGCGGCTCGTGCAGCAGCAGGACTGCGCGCGGCTCGAACAGAGGACCCCGGCCGGCCCCTGGAAAGGGTAAGTACCGCTACATTACCCCCCCCTGAGGACACGCCCTCCGGGCGGGGAGGGCCAGGCCTGGCAGGAAAACGAGAATGGAAAGAGCGCACAAGACGAGGAGCGTGAACCGCGTCAGCGGAAATCTAACTATGCTCCTCAGGCCCATAGCCCTTCCAATGCACTAGGTACTGAAGTCGGCCCCTAAGGAAACGAGAGTCAAGAACTGCAGAATCTTCAAATTCCTCATGACCCTCCACAGAGACAGGAGGAGGAGGAGGTGCATGTCGGGTGTAGCGGTTGCGGGGATGGTTCTAGACAAGAGCGTCTGAAGAGCCTGTGCTATCTGATCCATACGGTGATCCTGCTCTATAAACCTTGCCTCGTGAGAAGCCATTTGCTGAGCCAAATCTGCGGGGTCCATGGCCCTATCGTAATGTAACGAGAATATACCCCAACACGCAGGATTCAGCTAAACAAAAGACAACACAGAGGAGAGATACGTCTACCGGACCTTAGAATGGCCGGACTCGACGTATATGAGAGGAGACAGAGTCAGGAACAATCCGAAATCAAGGGCACAGAGAGACAGCGTAAATTAGGACAAGCCGGGGTCTGGTACACAGTAAACAACACGCCGACAACCAGAACAGATAAGGATAAAGAGAAAACGTAGTCAGAAACAAAGCCAAGGTCAATACGGAGAAACACAACTGAACACAACAAGCGCTAAAGGGAACTGATACAGAAACCACGATAGGGCAAGGAACAAAGGGAAGAAGGTGAGTATAAATACCTAAATATCTAATTTGATTGGTCCCTGTCACATCCACGCCCCCAAAAGGTAAGTGTATGGGGAGTGTGGCATGACAGGGACCAATGGGATGCCTTTTCCAATTTAGGCACCCACTGTCCCTTTAAGAGCGCGCCCGATACCCGCGGCGCGCGGCTCGTGCAGCAGCAGGACCGCGCGCGGCTCGAACAGAGGACCCCGGCCGGCCCCTGGAAAGGGTAAGTACCGCTACACATACTGACACCATCACTGACTCACACAATCACTGACTCACGCCATCACTGACACACACCATCACTGACCCACACCATCACTGACCCACACCATCACTGACTCACACCATCACTGACTCACACCATCACTGACCCACACCATCACTGATACACACTGTCATTCTGACACAATCACTGACCCACACATTGTCATTATGACACACTCACTGCGCTCCATCAGGGGCCCCACAACCTATTGAGGGTAGAGATTTTTTTTTTAATTTGCCATTTCAGTTGGAGAGATCTCTGATCTCATGGCTGTGTGGGCCAGCCCCTGGCTGTCTCTGGCCCTCGGTCCAAGACTGATCTGCCCGAGTGATCAGTCTGCCCCTGCTTGACGTTGGCAGGCAGGGCATTCCTGCCAATGGCCATTGAGTAACTAAATGACCTCCATTTGTAAATATCCATAGGGATTCAGGAGAGAGCAGGTAACTTTTTCTTTGTTTTTTTACTGTATATATTGATGTGTGCTGTGGTCTTTGCTTCCACCCAGGAGTGATGGGAGTGAACTCAGGACTTATATTTTTGTATTTGTATTCACTTTTTGTATCACACAGCTTTGTTAAAATGCTGCCACCCATCCCATGTATTCCCTATTAAGGGTTAATAAGTATATATGGATGTATATAAAAAAAAATACCCCTCTCTGTCTCATTAGAGATATCTTTGCCAAAAGCTCAAGGAAGCAAGGTGAAAGGTCAGTGTAGGACCCGTCTAGGGGGGTCTGCCTTGACGTTGACAGGCGGGCATTCCTTCCAATGGCCATTGGAGTAACTAAATGACCTCCATTTGTTTAAATATGCATAGGGATTCAGGAGAGAGTGCAGGTAACTTTTTCTTTGGTTTTTTACTAACCACTGCATACCAGGAACACCCCACAACACTTGCGGTTTTGGAAATGTTCTGACCCAGTTATGTAGCCATTACTATTTGGTCTTTGTCAAAGTCATGTAGATCTTTTCGCTTGCCCATTTTTCCTGCTTCCATCACATGAAATTCAAGAACTGAATGTTCAATTGCTGCCTAATATATCCCACCCCTTGACAGCTGCCATTTTAACGATATAATCAATATAATTTAAGCATCGAATAGAGAAATTCCATGTGCGTTATCTATGGCACTGTGAGAGTTAACTAATTCACATACTTTGCTAGTGCTTGACGAACAAAGTATGGAAGTTAAAATATAAAGAATGAAAATTATTATAAGTTTTTAAAACTTTTAGCACAATTGATATATAACTTTTAGTAGTTTAAGTAAGTTGGTGACCGTTTCTGTAATATACTATATTCTGACCAGAAAATCTGCCCTTTCTTGCATACCGTTTCATACACTTTTTGGCCTTTGAAGGTTATTTATTAAAGAGACACTGCAGGCTACAAATTGAAACATAGATGTTCTAAAACACTTTGAATAAATGCTATTGGGCTGACGTTTGTTGAATTATATTTGCATTCACAGCTATCAATAGATACCAGGTGGAGTGAAAGGGAGGGAAGGAATCTATTATTTTCCATTTGGGTGGTTGGACTCGGTTACATACCATTTCATCTGAATGATAATATAATATTAACAATGTTACTTGACATTTGAATAGGTCATAATCAGTATATTAATTAGATACATTATTCAAATTGACACATGTCGTCAAGGTTTTTAACACAAATAAAGCAGACTGTAGACCAGTTTCTCCATACTTTAATGAAATGAGCATTTATTTGTGTTTGCGTGCCTGCGTGTGTGTGTTTTATTTGTGTGTCAGTGTGGTTGCTCGGTGCTGTTATATGATGTATCTAAATGCTAGAAATGAGGCATATCTCCATATATCAGGAGGTATAATCTATGGACAGCATGCCTTCTCCCCATGTCTGATTATGGCAGAACAGTCTCTATTTCAATGTCCTGTCCCACCATTCCAACTTTGTTCCCAGCATTGCATAAGTGCATCATTAGACTAGCACCACTAGAGTACCGCATGAGTGGCAGTCATTCCAAGGGGTCCGCCTCCTTTAGGCAGTGCAGGTAACACAATTGGAATCACTGGCCTGCTTCCTTTTACCCTGCCCACCAGTGTCCTATAAAGTGTTGAGCGTTCATATTTGTGTGTGAAAATTAAAAAAAACTAAATTGAACTCTAATTTTGGTCAGTGTTTGTGACTAAGTGGCTACTAAAAAAGACTGGACAGCCCCCATTTGCAATACCTTGGGTTGTCTACTTTTGCAAATGGTATGCCATCATTGGGGTAATTCTCATTCCTGGGCTACCACACGGTCTTCAAAGCAACATAACCAATCAGCAAATTTCAATGTGAAAAAAAGGAAACTCAAGCCTTATATTTAAAATACATACAATGGTGGATCACATGTCTTGGTACATAAGCCTGGAGCCAAATAAAATCATATGGCTCCCATGAGTGGTGCAGTGGGACTTTTAGACGGGATGTCCCTGTCCGTCTTCTGAGTGTTCTTGTGGTTCCAGAACAGTAAGAAGAAAATATAGCATAAATAGATGTAATTTCTTCTAGAAAAAAAAGCTTTTATTAAACATATATATATAAAACAAATGTAAAATCAATGGACTGCAAGTTAAAAAGAGAAAAAAGCAAAGTCCAATATAGCCAGATGGCTTCCAAAGTCTATAAAGTGCACAATCTATAAAGTGCAAATAGTCCAAATGACAAAAGTGTCTGTAAAATCCGATACGCGTTTTGCCCCGTGCCAGGGGCTTCCTCAGTCGGTGATAATGTATGGGGGCTCCTTGGCGTCCTTTTAAACTGTATTTTCCATCCACTTCTGGGTTCCGTTGTCATGTGTTGGAACACACGTTGCGTTCCAAGCGTCGTATGCGTCATTTCAAGCCTTATATTTGACTCAGTAACTTTGAAAACACCATAAAACCTGTACATGGGGGGTACTGTTATACTCTGGTGACTTCGCCGAACACAAATATTAGTGTTTCAAAATAGAAAAAGTCTCCCGGGTAAAACTGTACCATGTACAGGTTTTAATATGTCCTAGAACATTACACGGTTAAATATAGGGCTTGCGAGCCAAATTCTCTGGACTTTCTGCCTGGGTTGTCGGGCAGGTCCCTCAAATTGTAATTAATAAAATGACTTGATTATGTAAAACTATTATATAAATATATTTGTATAATTTAAATATATATGTATATATATATTTTTTTTAAATTATTTGTATATATATATATATATATATATATATATATATATATACAGATACATACTTGTATTTATAATGTCATTCTAAATGTATTTTGAATTTAATATGTGTATATTAATAACAAAATACAGTTAGAACAAATTAAAACTGGTATATTTTTTCAACTTATTTTTATTATTTTTTTCAATTTATTAATTTTTTTATTTTATATTAATGTTAATGATGTGGTATGCTTTGGATCACGAGCCACTCCAAGCATTCTCCATACTTTTTTCTTCCCTTTATTCTGGCACAGGTTGATCTTAGTTTTGTCTGTCTAAAGAATGCTGTTCCAGAACTGGGCTGGCCTTTTTAGATGTTTTTTGGCCTTTCTATTCTTGAGTCTTATGAATTTTGCACCTTTTTGTGAACCCACTGTATTTGCTCTTGTGAAGTCTTCTCATTATGGTAGACTTGGATAATAATATACCTACATCCTGGAGAGCGTTCTTCACTTGGCTGGATGCTATGAATTGGTTTTTCTTTACCATGGAAAGGATCCACCCCTGTTGTTTTCCAAGGATGTCCAGGCCTTTTTGGGTTGCAGAACTCACCAGGTCTCCCACTGTCGAAGTTTCAGTGGGACCTTTGATACTTCCCTACTTCCCTACATTTTGTTCCTTGGTGCCACTGGGCATCACAGCTCAAGTACATCATTAGACGTATCTGTCATACGGCACAAGGACCATGCAGAAAGCTCTTCTTCCAGCCTGGCGTACTTGATGTCAAGCTGACAAGAACCTTCATGTGGCATATCATACTCACTTTGCAAATCCATTCCACCATTGTTAGAAGGTATGTTTTACACATTCAGTTACACACAAAATAGAGTTCACGTCTCGTCCAGCCATAGCTTACCTCCATTTGTAGGATGGAGTGAAAGAAAAGAGGTGCAGACTCTAGTTAGGGTGTCTGGAATGCTGCTGTCACTGGGGAAGAGAAAGAGTCTTTAAGGAAGTGCTGTCCTTGTTTTCTAGAGGGAAGCAAAAAAGCAAGGAACTGCAATGCTTTCAGGAGAGCTAACTAAAGTTCCTGTTTTGGAATTTCCAACTCTATGGTGTAAATAGTAGGGGCAGGGTGTGGTGCCCGGCAGACCCCAGGTAAGAAGTCAAACTACAAAATGAATTAACTATTTAGTATGAGTAGGGGCAAACTGTAGTGGTTATGGTGCTTGAAATGTTCTTTTAATATGACACCAAAACTTATCAAACGCATGCCTGGTATGTAATTTTAATCTAAAACCTGACGTATTAAGTGGGGTAAAGTACCTATTTGTTGTAATCAGCAGAAATATTATAGTTATAGAATATATAGTTTTGCTTTGCTTTGTTTGTTCTGTAATATTTATGACATTGTCACATAATTCTAACATTGTAAATGCAGATCTAAGTTTCACTTAACACAAAACACGGCTCAAAGTTATACAATCAGCAGTTAGATGCCACTGTGAAAGAAAACTTTTCTAATTGATTTCTGTATGCCTATTGTGACTTTCACACCCTCCACGATCTATGCCATTAGTGCTGTCACCCAGGGACGTATTAGCCATGAGGCAAACAAGGCATTTGCCTTGGGCGGTATTTTCCAGGGGGGCGGCAAAAAAAGCCGCCCCCAAATGCCCAGGGCAAATGTCTTGTTAGCCCCGCGGCTAACTGACAAGCCATGCGGACGGGCGGGCGGCGCTGGCGAGGGAGCACTTTCCTCTGAGCTCTCTGCTCAGCTCCCAGCCTCACTCTGCAGCGCGCGAGGGAGCTGAGCAGAGAGCTCAGAGGAAAGGGCTCCCTCGCCAGCGCCGCCCGCCCGCCCAGCACGTAGCCAGCCAAGCACCCAGCCCGCCCAGCACCTAGCCAGCCCGCCCAGCAGCCAGCCCGCCCGCCCAGCAGCCAGCCAGCCTGCCCGCCTGCCCAGCAGTCACTGGACCCCCAGGGAAAGGAAGAACCCCCCAAGCATTCCCAAAGGTAAGGAGGCTGGGGGGGTTAAATTTAAAAACAAAAACAAAAGTGAGTGTTAATGTGAGTGAGTGTGTGTCTGTTAGTGTGTGTGTGTCTGTTAGTGTGTGTGTTAGTGAGTGAGTGAGTGTGTGTCTGTTAGTGTGTGTGTGTGTCTGTTAGTGTGTGTGTGTCTGTGTTAGTGTGTGTGTGTGTGTGTGTGTATCTGTGTTAGTGTGTGTGTCTCTTAGTGTGTGTCAGTGAGTGAGTGTGTGTCTGTTAGTGTGTGTGTGCGTCTGTTAGTGTGTGTATGTGTGTCTGTTAGTGTGTGTGTGTCTGTGTTAGTATGTGTGTGTCTGTGTTAGTATGTGTGTGTGAGTGTGTGTCTGTGAGGGAGTGTGTTACTATGTGTGTGTCTGTTAGTGAGAGTGTATGCGTGTCTGTTAGTGAATGTGTGTCTGTCAGTGAATGTGTGTATTTAGAAGGCAGGACAGGGGGGAAGGGTGGGGTGGTGCGGGGGGCAGAGGGGGCGCCTGAGTTTTGTCATGCCTAGGGCAGCACAAAATCAGGATACACCACTGCTGTCACCACCTGCTTTTGTTTTAAGATCCCAAACAGAAAGACTTTTCGATGACAGGAAAGGCAAAACACCACTACTAATGTCACAACATTGAAAAGTTGATTCCCAAGACACAGCATTTCTAAACAAAATCAATACCTTGATATATGATGCATATAATGAGTCATACAATGCCATGGAATTTATTTACTAAATAGTGATTATCAAATAAGGTTCAAAAAATGTACTTTAAAAGGCCAAAGTGAATGTTTAAGCTGCCATATTGCCAAATTTAGTTTTAAAGGGACACTATAGTCACAAGAACAACTACTGCTTAATTTAGTGGTTCTGGTGTCTGTCGCCTGCCCCTACAGTCTTTTCAATGTAAACATTGCCTTTTCAGAGAAAAGGCATTGTTTGTATTGATGCCTAGTAACACCTCTAGTGGCAGTCACTCAGGCGGTCACTAGAGGTATTTCCTAGTCCAGTGCTGCACAGTGTGCAGCATTGGCATTCAGCGTGTCCATACAGAGTGTTCCTCAAAGAGATGCATTGATTCAATGCATCACTATGAGGAGATGCTGATTGACGCAATGTGGCGTTAGAAAAAAGGTTAGATAGAATCAGAACACAGTCTCAGGAGGGGCATTGTAAAATTATTATATTGCAGTGTGAAAAAAAATAATAAAATAATAGTACATGTTTGCTGCTGGCCTCTATAATGTAATTTGCATTGTATGTGCAAAATTTGTGTATATTGTTAATTTGTGTGTATATGTGAGGGCAGACTTGTGTGCATGGAAATTTGGGAATGTGAGTGGTAAAGTATGGGTGCCAAAGCATGCATAGGGCATTTGGCACCAACCACTCAGTCATGGAACCTCACACACAATCACACATTAAAACACACACACAAAATCATAAAAATACACACCAAAAACACTTACAATTACACCCTCAGAAATACACACAAATACATCCTTACAGGCTAACTGACAAAAAAACTCTAAAGCACACACAATTACACCCTTAGGCATACATACATATGCACATACATACACACATGTTAAGAGTGAGTAAAATTAACATTAAATATCTGGGTGAGACTGCCCACTGAGCCCACGTATCTCCTTGAAATGGCCTGTGCTTAAACTGTTGAATTTACATTTGATAAATTGTACACTGTGGGTCAACGTTTCGGCTAAAAGGCTCTGAAAGACAGGGAATCTCAGTTCCTCTCCAGTCTCGCGTTGGCTCCCCAGCTGTGCCCGTTTGACAGGTCACATACTTTATGTGTGCAAATCCTGTGAGACTGGGACCCATGTTGGTGTCACGGTTCTCACCTGATAGACAGACGGCAAGACGTGGTCGCTCTTGGAGTTCCCAACAGGGGACTTGAACCGGGGATCTTCTCAGTCCTGGTCCTGCTTTCTACCTCTGAGCCACAGCAGCTATTTACAGTGAAGACTGATTCCAGTCCTGTTCATCCTGACATGGCTACTACTCTGGGGGCTGCACCTTGACTTGGCTGTGTTTCACCTGACTCTGATCAGTCATCAGCAGGGTATATAAACCCAGCCTCGCCCTGTGCTCAGGGTCAAGTCTTTGATCCTGTTTGTTCTAGTGTTCCTGTTTCATCGCTTCGCATTATTGACCCCGGCTTCCTGACTCGTTTATTCTGACTTCTGGCATCCCTTGACTTCGGCTACTCCTCGTTGTTCCTGTCCTCTGGCATCCTTTGACCTCGGCTATCCCTCGACCATCCTGCTGGTTCAGTCCTTGCCTGTCCTGCGTATTGGTACTGCATCCTGCACAGCCCCCGTGCACAGACCCACAGGCCAGGTGAATTCTTACCTGACCACCTCGGCCTGTGGCTATCTGCAAGGGTGAGCATCATATCTGCGCTACAGACTCCCAACTCAGGTAAGACCCTGACAGTTGGAGGGCATTCCCACATCTGCCTACTGTCTTGAATCTGACAGGGCAGTCCTAATTTAGAACCCCTGTCCTGCTCTCTCCTTTTGCAATGAGAGAATGTAAATGCATTTACAGTTGCAGTAGGCCACTTTTTCCCAAACCAGTCCTCAAAGCTCACCGACAATCCAGGGCTTATGTATGACAAAACCTGGACTGTTGGTGGGTCTTGAGGACTGGTTTGGGAAACACTGCATTATGCTGTTTGAGGGCATTTCAACCCATCAGAGAATGCTTAAGAAGCCACCAACTGTGAATTGCATGAGTGGCATCCTACTAAGCAAGCTCTGCCCCATTTCAGCTTGATGTCTGTGAATACATTCAAGCAGGCATTCATTATTCTTCACAATTTCAGTTATGTTTTGTTGCCTATTAGAGAACTCAATTATAATCATATTTAAAAGCACAGAATTACACAAAGGAAACTAATATTTTCTCCCATGAAATTTACAACATATTACAAAAAAACTTAAAAAGAGTAATGAATGGAAGAAAATGTAGACAATAAAAATACTTAATCCACTCCCACAGTGCATGCATCCCAAATAGTTATAAAATCCCATTGTGTGCCTTTCAATAGCTTGTTCTGTGTTTAGGTTTCAGATTCCATACTCTGGTAAGAGAATCACGAGTGGGAATGCTTTGATGACACAATATAGGTTATACCATTATGAGTAACAAACAAAGACTATTTGGAAGCCAAAAAATAAATAAATTGTGCAAGTGTGTGTGTACAGTAAACAAGCATTGTTGTCTGTACACAAAATCTCCAAATAGTTTAATAAACGTGTTTCACAAGTACAATTTTTTCATAGACAAAGACATGGTTGAACCAAAACAGAACAAATACTCTTTTGCCAGTTATAATGCTGTTCCTGTCTAGCTGCATTCCTGGGAAAAGATACCCGGAGTCCATGATTGCCATCCATTTGAAACTGCTACCTGTTGAGACTGGATACAAAACCTGTTATTTCCTGAATCTCTTGCCCATTATGTCTGCAATGTGACAAATCTGACCACTATGTTTCCTTGTACACTGCATCCATCTCAGATTCCAGATCCGCATGACCATATTGATGTGGCAACTGAGCTTACACTTTAATGGCTATTGGACTGATACTACAAAAATCTCAAGTTATGTTAATGAGCACTGGGATTTGGGATAGTGGGTAAC